GTCATAAAGGGAGTATGTTTTTATCCCCCCTCCCCCTCAGGTGACTTATAAGAGCAAAGCAGCGACCTTGACAAATCCACCTGGAATGATCAGATCTGGCAGGTGAAGGTGGCAGAATTTTTGGAGCACAAGTTGAAGATAGCAGAGAAAGGGGAAGGGCCTACAGTCAAGGAAGCCAGGGCCCTCTGTTTCCAAGGCCTGAGCAAGGCGGTTAAGAGTAGGACGTTTTGAAGGTCATTAATTCATAGGCTCGTTATAAGTCGGAAGCATGTATACTATCAGGGCTATTTTGGGGCAGGAATGCACAGGAACGGAGTTCCGGCTGGCTCCTGAGTTGGCCACGCCCAGCAGGAACTCGTTAGCATAATAGGCCACACCCAAGAGCAGAAACTCATTAGGACTGGCTACATTAGGGGTGTGTGGCCTAACATGCAAAGGAGTTCCTGCTACAAAAAAAGCCCTGGGTTTTGACAACAAACAAGGTAAACAGAATAAGACACAAAAGGTGTGTGTGGCTGGATGACCACACTTCTGGTAACATGGGGTTGTGGCCTAATATGCTAATTAGCTGTGCTGTCAGGGCTATGGCCTAATATGCTAATGAATTTCTGCTCTTGGGTGTGGCCTATTATGCTAATGAGTTCCTGCTGGGCTTTTTCTACCAAAAAAGCCCCGGTTAACAGTCAGCCTGGGGTCAAAGGAAGAGCCCAAAGAAGGGCTTTCCAAAGCTGTCTTCAGCACCCTCAAACCACATAAGGACTAGAAATAAAGACAGCTCCACCAGGATTCTTTTTCTACCAAAAAAGCCCCGGTTAACAGTAAGCCTGGGGTCAAAGGAAGAGCCCAAAGAAGGGCTTTCCAAAGCTGTCTTCAGCACCCTCAAACCACATAAGGACTAGAAATAAAAACAGCTCCACCAGGATTAGCAGGGGCCATCAGCACAAGTCATACCAACAACTTATACACACACACACAGAGTTCTTGAGATCTGCATACTGTACTAGGTAATGGCACAGACTACTCTTCCCCTCCCACAGAGACAGCTTCTTTGGGCCATTACTCTACATCCGAAACATCTGTGTTTCCTCTATGCTTTGACTTCACATCTGTGGTCCTCCTAAGCCTAGCCTTGTTGTCCAGCCTTTTAAGGCCAGCAGCCCTGTCCTCTCCCTCACTAGGACTACACTACTGCAAATTACTTTAGAGCATTCATAATATTTAGACGTTCTGGTGGAAACTGGTCAAACCCAGGAACAAGTTACTTTATCACATATAATTACGTGTGCCCCCCCCCTGACTTTTATAACAACCGGTCGATGAAGGGCCCTTCTCCTTCACCACACTGACTGTCTAGCTTCTCCTCTAGTGAATTAGCCAGATGAGCAATCTGAAGTCACAGTTTAAAGTTTATTTAAAGACAGATAAGGCATCTATGACAGACCCCATCCACTGTCAAGCGCTGGCATCCATATTGGCTTATTCTGTCTCTGTTAAACATCTTGTTTTTTAGCATCTGCCTTTGCCCCGTCTGCACCTTATTGCTGTCCCTCTGCCCTCGCTTGCCATTTGCATTCCTTGGGGGGGGGGTGTAGTTAGAACATTAGGGAGTATCGGTTGGTAACTTTCTGAAGTGAGCCCCAAGACAGCTTTCTCATGAGAATGTCCTTGGCGAAGTCTTATGCCTGGCTAGGTTAGATAGGGCGACCATATATCTGTCTGTGTTTGCTATAGAAACGCTGACGTTGGTGTGAATGGAATTTAGGGGTTCCACCTAGATGTTGCTTTTTCCCGCCTTTGCAAATTAGTCCTAACAAAGAGTTTGAACCCATAGCATCTCACGTCTCTAATAAAGCATTTCACTGCCAAAGTGTGTGTGGAGAGTGTTTTGACTGGGAACCTGACATCCACTTCCCTCCCTTTTAGGCAAGGTTTTCCCTCCATTAGTCTTTTGTGTCCCTTCACTGACTGAGCAGCCCTGGTAATGTGTATTCCTTCTTTGCAAAGTACCTTTAGCAGTCCCAGCCTGAGTCAGGAATATGTAATGGCTGTTTTCTCAGCCCAGGACTCGATGGAAGGGTTAGGGTCTCCCTTTAACTTATATAACAGAAAATGGCACTTGAGACACTTCTAAAATTCAAAAATAACTGAAGGTTTTATTTAACATCAAGGGAAAGGTAACGTGAAGTCAGAGGATTGAAAATACTGAGGTGAAATAGTATAAGCACAAATTCTTATTCTTCTGTATCAGGCTCGTGAGAGTTTCTTGAATGATTCACAGTTACTATAGTTCTTTATTTTGAGCGGCTTTTGTTCCTGGGTTTCCCCAAACCACTCCAGCACACTTTGGCTGCGATCACACACACTAAATAATCCACTTCCAATGCACTTTCCAACTGGATTTCACTGTGCGAACTGGCAAAATCCAGTTTGAAAGTACACTGAAAGTGGATTATTTAGTGTGTGTGATCGCAGCCTTTGTTTATATAATAGCAGACTCTTTTGGTGCCCAGAAGGCTGGTACCCTCTTCCCAGTACCCAAACCCCTTCTCTTGAAACACCATCTTTTGACTGACTCTTTAGGTCTCTGCATGCAATTTTAACCACACCAGGCCAGGGATCTCTGTGCCGTTCAGGGATATCACCCTGTTCAACTGGGTAAGGAATCTTCTTCTCTCTTCTAGAAGTTTTCTAGAATCTTCTAGAAGTTTTATCCCCTTTCCTTGTGTCAGCTACGCTACCATGAAGGTTGGGGAGGTTGGTCTGTGTCTGGTTAATTGCTATTGCTTTACTTTCAGGTTAATTGCTACTGCATTCCTTTCTGTGATTTCTCTGCTGTGCGCCAAAACGCTTATCTATACAGATGTGCAGGAGTAGTGTCTGCGACTTCCCTAGGTGCCGTGGGAGAGTGTTCGTTCTCAGCTTCAGCCACCTAATGGTCTCTAAGCCTTAGCCCGCGTGTGGGAGGGCGCCTAATTGGCCAGTACTGGGGGGGTGCATACGAATACCCTATATCTTATTATGCCCATGGGGCCGCCACCATTCTTAACAATGCCTATGTTACTGCATCTACAGCTTTGCAATAAAAGTATTACCATTCCTGAATGCGTGTACTTCGTTGTTGGTTGTGGGTTCGGACACCTTGGCCTGAATGGGAGTTTACTTCCCAAGCCTCCTAACCAACTTTTCCCCGGTTCTCCCGTCTGTGCTGAACTGCTCTCAGCTAAGGCTGAAATTAGACTCAGTCAAGACAATTCAGACTTTCGTCAGTCAAGGCTCTCATCGGCATCCAGCTCTCTCAAGACTCTGTCTGCTCAGCTGATGCTGACCAATCAGATTGCTCAGAGCAGCCTATGAGGGTGTGTGACTCGCCCATGGTCACACAGCAAACCTCCATGCTAGAGTGGAGATTAGAGTCTGGATCTACTGGCACAACAACTACCTTCTAAACTAACGTATTTACACCACAAAATATTTACCATCCATCCCATTGTGCTGCTCATAGCTTCTTTTCCCCAAGATAGTTGGAGATCCATTGTTAATCACTGGGGAAAACTTAGAACAAGGCACACTGTTGAGAGAGCCAGATAACCTCTTAGTAGGATCAGGTTTCAGAGGGCAGGGATGAAATTCTGTAGAGAGAAGGAGAAAGACGGAGCTGTATGTTAGGACCAACCTACACAGAATTGATGCAGACTTCTTTGCTGAAATTTGGGACTGTCCAAACACAAGAATGTGCCAGCACATATGAGGGGGACCAGAGGCAGCACAAACAGGTGAAGACACAAGCAGCAACAGAAGTCAAGCGAATTCAAAGCTATGATCTATTTATTTATTATAATGTGTTATTTAAAATAATATGGGCACAATCCAGCCAAACTTAAAACATCTGCATGTGTTGCTCAGTTCCATGGTGGAATTTAAATCAATGGTCTTCAAAGTATTTAACTTTGGCTAAATCATGGCAACTATCTTACAGTGACGGAGGAATAGTAACTATTTGTTGCAAACGCAAATAGGGTGCTATTTAAAAAATAAAAATTGCAGGAATAATTTTTTCAGTGTCACTGAAACGAACTGCAGTCTTAGAATAGTTCATCAAACATACCAGGCTGTGGCAAATAATTTTGAAGGTCCACTCAACGCTTCTCATTGTATGGCACACACAAAAAAATTTTCTACATAAAGGGGCATGAGTATGAATATGTGATACAATTTAATAAGAATTCCAGAGCTGTGTTTGAGCAAAACTGAACAGACGTCTTCTGGTATTTTAAAGACTAACAAAGTTTTTTTTTTTAATTTCAGCACAAATATTTGTGGACTGGGGCACTTCTTTAGATACTATGAATGTGAATCCTCAAAATACATACATTTAAAAAATATATATTTCTATCCCACATTCCCACAATGCCCAGGATGGCTTACAAAATGGATATACCATTATAAAACAGAGTTAAAACAAATACATTAAAGTATATCATGTTAAAACATTGTCACTACCAGCTGTACCAGGGAAGCAAAAAACCTAAACAGCATGATTTCAAGGCGCCATCTGAAGGCGTGGGCTGTAGCTCATGAAAGCTTACACTGAAATGAAAAATGTTAATATTTAAAGGTGCCAAAAGACTCCTCTTTATATTTAAAATGAAATTATATAATCATCCACCACAGTAACATGAACAGGAACATAAACTAAATATTTCCAGGGAGAATTTAATAGCTAGGATTATACATTATGGGTTGGATCCAGTGATATGCAAACAAAAAATATATCTGCTTAGCATAGTTCCACGTGCAGAAGGGATTGAGTTCCTAGTTCGCTCATATACACAGTGACATATGTATGCAATAGCATACACATACAAAATTTTGTGCAACAATCTCCTCCCTCTCCCATATTGTACTTCCCCACAATTGGTTGCACAAGACCTTGTACAGGCAGAAACACAAGTGGGGACACAATAATTTTGACTTGGCACAAGCAGCAGTTTTAGAGAAACTGCTCTAGTCCTGGTGAAATTTTCCACTGAATCCAACCCTATATCTCAACATACACTCTAGAAGTGCTATAAAATAAGTACTATTGAGAATCATTCTAGAAGTGCTATAAAATAAGTACTATTGAGAATCATTCTAAAGAGATTTTCCTAGAGAAAGGTGGGAAATTAAAGAAGACTTTTGGCATGTGACAAAACACACTTTTTAAAACATTTTGGTATAAGAAATGCTTTTTTTAGTCTTACCTTTTTGAGTCAGATTATTTTGTCTAGAATGCCACAAATGGGAAGGCAAAGGACCTCCAGTAATTTGTGCGTCCCTTTTGCTAAAATCCTGTTACCAATATATCTAATTCTCAACATGACCAAATCTGTAGATTTGTAAATCCAGAGACTGGAGCCATGAGCAGACAGGACAGAGCTTTCCACAAACCTGAAAAAAGCCCCAGGTTTGCAAAAAAACTTGAAATACCCCCCCCCCAAACCGGTATCATCCTATTATATGTTTGTGATCTGATAATAGTAGGAATGACTAATCAGTACGTCATATGCATTATGATCCTTGCTATATCTCTTGTTTTATTACTGTTAGTTTTATATACCTTTCCTTTGTAGTGTGTAGTAGAAAAGCAATAATTTTTTTTAAAAAACCCAAAACATTGGGGGGTAACCCCTCCAAATAACAGAAGCAGTACTTGTAGCTTTAAGAAACAAATGCCCTCTTAGTGGTTTGGCAGCCACAACCACATTACCAGCATACTGCTTGCTACTGTGCAACAGCAGCCACCTCATGAAAGCCAGAGGTGAGGATAATGGGGTACCCAGGAGAGAAGAAAGAGGAAACAGTGTGGGAAGAGGGTACAGGGGACAGTGAGGTACCCCCTGCAAGCCCCCACATGTTATATCTAATTCTCAACATGGCCTATCTGTGGATACTTAAATCCAGAGATCCAGCCATAAACAGACAAGATGGATCTTTCTACAAACCTGAAAAAGCTCCAGATTTACAGAAAAATTTAAAATAAAAGTTGAGTTAACTCCCCCCCCCAATATTAAAAATAGTGACTGTTACCTTAAGAAATCAATGTCCTCTAAGGTTTCAGTGGCCACTGTGGGGATTGCTAAGCAACCAAAACAATATTAGTAACCTTCAAGCCTTGGTTTCAAGAAGTAAAAGTTGGGGGGAACTGCAGGCAGAGTCATTTCCCAGTATGTTTTGGTCTCTCATTACACCCCTGCTCCCCTCCCCATTGCCCTGGGGGGATGACTCATCAGGACTAGGTCAGCAACAACCAGGCCTCGGATGGGGCCAGAGCGCCCCGGAGCGGTGCTCCGGCAGTGAGGCTGGGGGGCGGGCACATGACGAAGCCCCGCCCCCTGTTTCCAGCCGCCCTCTGCTTCCAGCCCTCATTCGGGACCAGGAGAAAGCAGAAGACAAATGGTGAGTTGGCTTCCTCCCCACCCTGCCCCTGCCTGCCTGCCTTGGGCCACTCCACGCGGCCCAGGCAAGGCTTCCCCACCCAGTCCTCAATCTTCCTAGAGCCACGCGGAACTGCGCACTCCGGGAATGATCTCCCCCCCCCAGTCCCTGCCTGCCTCCATCTGTCCCAGACAAGGCTTCCCTGCCCCATCCTCCATCTTCCCGGATCCGCGTGGAACCGCACGGTCTGGGAAAGATCTCCCCCCCCCAAAGTCCCTGCCTGACTCCATCTGGCCTAGGCAAGGCTTCCCCGCCCCGTCCTCGATCTTCCCGGAACCGCACGCTTTGGGAAAGATCTCCCCCCCCAGTCCCTGCCTGCCTCCATCTGGCCCAGGCAAGCCTCCCCCGCTCCAGCTCCCCGGAGCTGCGTGGACGCGCGCGCTCCGGGAAAGATCTGCCCCCCAATCCCTGCCTGCCTCAAGCTGCTCCAGGGAGGCTGCCGGAGCTTTTACGGGGGATGGGAGGGCGCTGCAGGGCTTCTCTGGGCCGACCCCCTGCCTCACAGGGCCGCCGCCGAGCCCTAACTGGGCTCGGCAAGGGTAAAAATGGCTGTGCCGCGCTTCCCTGGGCCAGCATGGCCAGGCCCAGGGAGGCCACTGGAGCTTTTATGGGGGGCGGGAGGGCCCTGCAGGGCTTCTCTGGGCTGCCCCCCGCCTCGAAGGGCCACTGCCGAGCTCCAACTGGGCTCGGTGAGGGTAAAAACGGCTGCGCCGCACTTCCCTGGGCCGGCACAGCCAGGCCCAGGGACGCCGCCTGAGTTTTTATGGGGGGCGGGAGGGCCCCGCATGGCTTCTCTGGGCTGCCCCCCGCCCCGAGGGGCCGCTGCCGAGCTCCAACTGGGTTCGGTGAGGGTAAAAACGGCTGCGCCGCACTTCCCTGGGCTGGCACAGCCAGGCCGAGGGACACCGCCAGAGTTTTTATGGGGGGCGGGAGGGCCCTGTGGGGCTTCTATGGGCCGCCCCCCACCTCGCAGGGAGGGCCTCTGGGGTTCAGGCCCCGCTGGTGGACCTCCTGAGGGCCCCTGGTATTTTTGGCCAATGTGTGACACAGAGTGTTGGACTGGGATGGGCCAGTAGCCTGATCCAGCATGGCTTCTCTCATGTTCTTATGTCTGGGGCAGTGATGGGTGCTTGGGGGGCAAGAGTGGGAGGGCCTCTGGGGTTCAGGCCCCGCTGGTGGACCTCCTGAGGGAGACTGGGATGGGCCAGTGGCCTGATCCAGCATGGCTTCTCTCATGTTCTTATGTCTGGGGCAGTGATGGGTGCTTGGGGGGCAAGAGTGGGAGGGCCTCTGGGGTTCAGGCCCCGCTGGTGGACCTCCTGAGGGCCCCTGGTATTTTTGGGCCGATGTGTGGCACAGAGTGTTGGACTGGATGGGCCACTGGCCTGATCGAACATGGCTTCTCTTATGTTCTTATGTCTGGGGCAGTGATGCTCTGCATTCTTGG